TCTGATCTGTGTAGTGAGACCCTGTGGACTCCATAAACCCTGGCCTAAATACATTTTTAAAAAATCTCTTCATTCATGCTAAGGTGTTAAGAATGATGAATATCTGTAAACATTTTAGTATTTTTTTATATTACTTTCAGAATATATGTCTTGGAGGATGGATTTGATGTAGGTTTATATTATGAAATTTAAAAACCAGACCAGTCAGTTAAAATGTATTTCATCAACTATTATGTGATCTTCCTATGGGCCCTGATTGAGCTAAAAGAATATAGAACCAACAAATATCATGACAGCACTGCCTTATATATTTCAAGAGAATTTTTCAAAACATGACTGATCCCTAAAGGCAGTTTGTTCAGCTACTTTTATAACAACGTGTCTGTCCATTTGGTTGTTTTACAAGCCCTATAGCTCTAGATGACCCTATGTCCGAAGTTACCTGGTTGAGTCCCCTCTGAGAGAGTGTTAGTAACAGACTGCCCTGTGTTTGGAATTTCCAGTTCTAAAACAATAGAATCATGCCCTTTTGCTTGTCTGTCCCATTTCTTGTACTCTTCAGTTCAGATTGACAAGAATTTTCCAAGTTTGGAATTAATGTTGCTATTTAATAGATTGAGAAGCTGGCATCTAGAGAATTTTCGGGGTGGTACTCAAACAGTACTGCTCATATATAGCAGTGGGAGATTATAAATTTTAGTCTTCTATACAAAAATCTCATGTTCTGATGTATCACACAATAGCCCACACAGTAAGGACTCTTGTCATAGTTAATCCACAGCTTTGTAATATTAGGCATATTGTTTTAGAATCTTTAAAAAACTGTTTTAAAATTATTTCCTCAAAAAATATGTAGAAGCAAACTAAAACATAATTTATTTAAGTGATAAACTGACAGTTGTTACTGTCCTAGGTACATGTAAAGCCCATTTCTTAGAAGTCCCGGGTACTATCGAAGACAAAACAGGTATAAATCGTGGGTGACGCTTAGCAGTATATCCAAATGATCTTCAGTCCTGATGTGTTAAGGCACGCTCTATGGGAGCTTTTCAAAGTCTACATTTTTTAAGGCTTCAGGTGATTCTAATCTATGACCAGCATTAGGTGCACGTCATTTTCACTAGAAGAAGTGAAAGATTCACCAGGTGGTGATGGTGACCGGAGGGAGACACACACAGTGCCCTGGGGCACAAACAAGTGGGAGGTTTAGGTTTCTTTCATTGAACAAAATGCCTAAAATGGAAGTTAGATTGAAATATTTATTCAGGAAAAAAATCTGATTAGAAAAGTTCAAATACGGTCCTCAAATCACTTGAAGGAACATTCACTGGAAGTTATGTGTAACACTTTGTTGAGTGGATTATTATGAATAAAACTAACTTTTGGACTTATGAAGAAGATAAGATGCTTATATTTATCTTTAGGTTTTTACACATTGATTTTACAAATATGTTAGTGCATTTGTCTTACTAGACTTTAGTGCTCACAATATTATTTCTTAATATATATTGTGAAAAAAAAATTCAACTTTACTAGGTCCGTTGAGGGATATTGTATAATGTTTTGGAAGATGAACTTTCTTTACAAAGGTCCAGTGTTCCCATGCAGGCTTCATGCCTCTAGAAGGAATGTTGTCTTTGCTTGATAATGTGAACATAGTTAAATTCAAGCTTTGCATATGAGGGAAATCAGTAGCAAAAACTCAGCAGATATCACCACCCCATGCAAAAATATGAATAGGTTTTACTGAAAAACAAACATCAAACACACACATCTGATACTGCCTTGAGTAGCCCAGTATTGTTGTATCAACAATCGAGAAGTTGGTAATCATGGGTAGAATTTTAATATGAAGTCTTTGCTTCTTTCGACAAAAACATACCTTCTTTGTCACACTGCAAAGTTGTAAGCTTTTCATCATGTCTGATCTTTGCAGCGCTCCTGCCTGTTCGAGCCTCCATTTCCTCTTACTTTCCTGTGTGTGTACTTACTGTGCTTGCCTTTGGTCTGTAGCTGGTTAGTGATTTGGCTTTTTCTCTTCCATCTGCTTCTCTAGAAATTTCAGTCCTCTTTTGCTGTTCGTTCTGCTTCTGTCCCCAACCACAGCCTTCCATTTAGGGACCCAAAGCTGAGGCATGGCATTGCAGTTTCCTCTTCCTAAACATAGACACGAATTCCAAATGAATCCAGGGGTCTTTCATGTCAAAAGATGTACCACAGCGGCTAGAGCCCATGTGCTCATGAGGTCTCTGGCTTTACAGATACATGTGTGCAGCGCAAAGCTGAGTGGCTTTCCCCGCCACATTGTCAGCACGTCACAGGAGGTTAGGAGGGGCTGTCAGAATGGGGCTCTACCTCAGCACTGAAAATGGATGCATGGTGCAGTAGGGATTCTGTCCTCTCTCTACTGATACGGTACTATTTTTAATATGCTGGCAGCATTTCATATGCTATATGTGAGGAAAACCACTGTGTATGTCTGGCATTTGTCTTTAATACATTAATGAATGGTCTGGAGTCTTTGTTTTATCCTTTTGTATTTTTGTCAGTACTTTGGTTTGAGTGTATGAGAAAGCTGTATAACGCTCAAGCTTCTAAGAGCACGAGAGGTCTTGCTGTTTGATCTTTGCAGCTTTCTAGAAGGTGCAGCAGAAGCAGGAGAGAAATACTCTTTTTCTGCAGCCATGCAAGAGCTTGAGGAGACATTTTTCTCAGTGTGGGATTAAATGGAGTCCTTCGGAAGAAGATAGGCTCCTGTTTCTCATCCAGCAAATCTGAGCAGCTTGCAAATCTCAGCAAAGCTTTATGCCTCAAGCTCAGCCTCTTTACAAATAATCTGTGTATTTCTCAGTCCAGAATGGTCATAGTTTGCCAAAGTGGCCCTTCATTTGCCTAAGGAACTGTCTCTGTAGCGGGGTACAGTGCTCGCCCTGGGCTTGGAAACAGACATGTCTGAGTTAGGAGAAAACAGCTTTGCCATGGAAATAATCACTATTTCCAAAATAAGAGTTTTGGATAGATTTGGCACAGTAAAACAGAAAAAGTATGAAGAATATATTTAAGGTCAAGTAAATAGTGGTATGTAATCACTATGTGTTTAATGATGTATTTTGTATTTTTAATAATAAATTAATTGGTATCATTTATGAAAACAGCCTAAACAAAGAGTAACTGTATGGTAAATGTACTGATAAATAACCCTTACATTGTTCAGCAAAGAAATTAAATCATAAGGTGAGAACTGAGATATTGTTCTAGTTGGAAAAATAGGTGATACTAACAGCTTTTACAAAATAGTTTGCTTTACACTGTTTATTTTCTTTTGTTTCTTACTGTTTTGGGGATTTTAAGACTCTCAGTTTCAGAACATGAAATAAAAATCTTGTTACTTAGAATTCATACAGACTTGGATGGTTCATTTTTATTTTTCTAATTTGTATGATTTTGTAACAAAGTAATTATGTTAAGAAGAGGGGGGAACATTAAGACTTCAACCCATTTCCTTTCTTAGTTGACCTGGTACCATTGTTGATGTATTTTTTCTTTTCCCATTGTTGCTGAATAAAATGCTCTTGAGTGCATTGCATATTGTCTATTGTATGTTTTGAATAGAACTATAATTTACATTCTGTAAGAAAGGCTTTAAGAAATGTTTTGTTTCTTTTAAATGTATTCTCACATTTTGGGGAAGAGAACAGCAAACCGGTGTGAAATGACGAACAACATAGTTTTATGTGTTTTGCTACCATGATAAAGCTGAAGAACACCTTTTGGTTTCCATCTAACAGGACAGTGATGTGATGTCTGTGTTAGCCTGCTCAAATTAGATGTAGTCGAGACAGTCCAGCTTGCTCTGTCAAGGTCAGGCTGATCTATACCAGTGAACTCTTGGGCCATACTGCGCCTCAGAAGTAGGAGTTTAATAAATGCTTGCTGAGTTTATGAGCTAATGCATGTATGAACAGGTGTACATTTGATGCTCAATAACAAGCTGAGAACAGTGTTATTGTTCTCAAATCTTAGACTCTTTATTAAGTTTTGCTCACTAAAAATTACAATAATTCAAGTGAACTTGAATAGATATATCATTATTTTAAATTAAACAAAAAGTGAGGCTGGGAAGATGGCTCAGTAGAATAAGCGCTTGCCTGGCAAGCACAAGGACTTGAGTTCAATCCCAGGTTCCACCAAAATAAATGAATGAATGAATCAATCAATCAATCAAAACAAAAGCATAGAATTTAAAATTTGCAATATGAAAGTTACCTAAAATTACTTTCTAAGATACTAATATAAGCTTGTATATTTTTAAAAAAAATTATCCTACACTGAGTTGTAATCTACTTGTAATAAATGATTTAAATTTAGTAATTTAGGGATTGAGCTTGAGAAGTTATAAAATTTTGTGTCAAACGTAATATAGTACCTCTTGTACCAAATATGAAAGAAGTATTGTACAGTTTTCCAGTTAATAGTAAGTATTCAGATGAGAGTAGTGTGCAGGTGTACAGCTATACATTGTAGAACGTTAAAGTCAGAAGAGATGCTAATCTAATGAAAACTCAAATTGGTCTTTAACAGAAAAAACAAGACTGCTAAGTTAAACCAACAAAATAGATGTTTTAATTAAATACAGTATTTCTACAACTCTAAGAATATTCTGTATTTCAAACCTGTCTTCTCCAAGATTCTATGTCAATTTACTGTTCCTGTTGAGATTCCTGTGGCCTCTTCCATGAAGAACTGGTTTTGCCCATTCCCACAAGTGTGTTTGTCTTTTTTACTGGAATAAAAGTGTCTCGTTGGTAGATGGTTTGTCTCACCCCGCTTTGCGCCTTTCCCTCTCCACTTCTAATCACTACCATAGAACACTGCTTCAGATATTTAGGAAGGGAATCAGTGTCTCATAATAAGAGAAATTAAGCATTCAATAATAAGTCCTGCAACCATTAAAATGTGTGACTAAGACATAAATATGTCTTCCATCTTTCTCCCCACAGTCTCCAAACGCCCACAGCTACCCCGATATGGAAGCCGTTCCCCTGTTGCTAAATAACGTGAAAGGGGAGCCTCCAGAGGACTCGTTACCTGTCGATCACTTCCAAACACAAACTGAGCCTGTGGACTTGTCAATAAACAAAGCCAGGACATCCCCCACTGCCGTTTCATCCTCCCCGGTTTCCATGACTGCCTCTGCCTCGTCACCTTCTTCAACTTCAACCTCGTCATCATCTTCCAGTCGCCCAGCCTCATCCCCAACCGTTATAACATCCGTCTCTTCAGCATCATCGTCGTCAACAGTATTAACTCCAGGACCCCTTGTTGCCTCTGCATCTGGTGTGGGAGGCCAGCAGTTTTTGCACATTATCCATCCTGTTCCGCCTTCAAGTCCCATGAATTTACAGTCTAACAAACTGAGCCACGTTCACCGCATCCCTGTGGTGGTGCAGTCGGTGCCTGTTGTCTACACAGCTGTGCGTTCACCTGGAAATGTGAACAACACTATTGTCGTGCCGCTTTTGGAGGATGGGAGAAGCCATGGCAAAGGTAAGAGACAAAGCCTTGATTTATTTCAGCAGTACCAATAACTATTATTTTTTTTTAATGAATACAACCTTAATTATATGCAAAAACTGCATCAAAAGAAGCTCTCTGCTCATTGAGCAGAATACAGTGCAGCAGGAGCCCTGTTCTTGTAAATATTGTTTCAGTTATTTTTATTAATCAAGTCATATATCAGAATTCAAATACCTAAAGTAGCAAAATAATGCTTAATTATTTAAATGTTCAAATGGAGAGGGCCAATTGGCTAGTAGAAAAGTGTGAGTACATGAATATCTCATGGAAATTATGCATTGTGAAGTTTTTAAAAAAGTAAATCATGGTATTTCTTCTTCATTTATTCAGACTGAAACTTGTTTGTTTTTCAGTAATATAAAATGCCTTGAAGTCGCAGTGCCTAGAATCTGACTGCTCACTTTGAGCACTTGTAAATTAGGTTACCCTTAAAATAATGACAATTTGAGGACTTGGCTGGAAGAGATATTTGTATTCTGAAAAGTCTTAAGTTTTTTCAAACAGGATAATAATATAATGGAGTTATTTCAAAATGCAATTTTAATTTTACCTTCTAGAGTTTAGAAGACAGAAAAGTATTTTGCCCATGAATGCGTATAATAGTATCTAGTTACTTCATTTAATTTCATAGCTATGCAGCTTACCTTGAAGTTATTTTCTACTTCTAGGTTCTTACATTTTTCCAGAATGAATGTGATGGCTTCACCTTGCTCATTCTTTCCCCCTGCCCAAGAATCTAAAAAGAAAGCCACCTGTCCATGGAAATGTAAACTCCCATAGTCGCTGACTTGCTGGATAGCTAAACATCTCTTTTGCCTTTAGAGCCTCAATAGAATGCTACATTAACACTTGTGTTCCTTTTGCTTTGAAACCGTGTTACTACTGAGGACTACCCTCAAACTACAGTTGGTGAATCTAGAAAACACTGTCTGTTCATAAATGCTAGTGTACATGATTTTTGGTCCTTGCATAAGGTATAATTCAATAGAGAATATATTTGATTACATACTTAGATTATGCATATCTATACTATAAAATTATATGTTCACTATTGACAAGTGATTGTTTTACCTATGTTGACTTTCTTCAAAGTTCTGAAATGAATTGCCCCTTCCCAGTTTAGCAAAATTAAAATCTCATTATTCAGAGCATGCAAGAATTTTAGGCTGCAAACTCGAGGTGTTCTTGCTTGGCTGTCAGCCTCTGTCTTTCTTGCTGTCTGGGGCCAGGAGGTATCTGTCACTGTGTAAAGAACGGGTGGAGGAACAGTGTGAAGGAGGAAGCTTTTGCATTGCTTTTACTCCAGCTAAATATTTGGTCCAGCCATGCTTCCAATCAAATTAACTTAAATAGTAACAGCCTAAGTGAGCTTTAGATAATAATAACATAAATCAGATATGAGGCATTATCAAAAATATGGTGGATATTTACATATGTCTGAAAAATTACAGTAAAAAACACTTTGCCATTAATTCTCCTCAAAATACTCTCCTTTGTTTCAAATGCACTTTTCCCATTATTCGCTTCGCTTTCTGAAGATGTTCTGGAAGTTCTCTGGTGAGGCTCTGGTTTTGCTTCCTTTCGACTTTGAAGAAGAGCCAGGAGTTGCCTGGCAGCAGATGCAGTGAATAAGGTGGAAGAGGACACACCATTCTGTTTTTCAGACCTGCCTTTCCCACTGAGGGCACTCAGCAGCAGCATTTGCCACTTTTTATAACTCCTTGTAAATACACGAGAGAAGACTTTGAGAACTGTTTCAAAAAATGGCAACGATGATGTGATGGATGCATTTGAAACAAGGAGTAGTATTTTTAGGGAATTAATGGCAGTTTTTTTTAACTGTAATTTAGAAAAATTGTTCATCATATATTTTGATCATGCCTTATGTTTATTTTCCTTCTCAATTCAAAGATACCATAAAATTTTCAAAAATTAGGAATTAACAAGTAGTGGAACATACAAGCTTGCATATTATATTATATATTTGTTAGTATTTAGTATGATGATAGAGTCCTATTTTTCTATAATAGCACTAAAGAGAAAATACTGCCTTCATTATGAAGTTCTTTAATAAATATTTTAATGTTGCTCATGACCTTTTATACAGTTTTGAGTCACTAATAAGGAAGCATAAGAGATATCTTTTATTTGCCATTATCCTTTTATGTGAGAGGTTTTTTTGCTTAATAGGTATAATATATAAAGAATATGGCTAAAATCTAATTTTCTAGAAAATATATCATTGCAGACCTTTAAGACTGAGGATGTAGTTCATCCCTTATATAAGCACATTTGTTAGTTTCATTTCCACAGTATTTTTTTATTCTGTAGTTTTATTTCATATCATGAATAGAAATGTATTTAATCATAAGCCTGTGAGACTATGTTCTAGTTGTTAGGAACAGTAGATTTGAGATCAGAGGTGTGTGAGTTAGAATCCTGCTTCTCTCACAGCTGTGGATATGAGACATTTAATCTCTCTAATCTTCATTTTCATCAGCGATAAAATGGGGATAATAACATGTATTCTAAATTGTTGGGAAAATTAAGAGCATACTATAAAGGCCTAACGGTGGTCAAGTACCAATAAATGTTTGTAGTCATTTATTATTATTTTTCTCCGAAAGTACTGAAATAGTAATGTTTAAAGTTTCTTTCTTAGAAAAGCAGAAAGTTGGGAGAAAAATTTTTTGCTGAATTATCCCAAAATGTTGGTATGGATATTTGTCTTGAAGTTATAAGACACATCATAGGAGACGAGAGATTATTATGAGGAGTTGTCTAGAAAATCACATTTTTCTTTTATTAGTTCATATTAATTTTTTATAATCACTATATTCTACAAATACTGCTATAGCATTTTACAAGTTTTTTTATTGTTTAACTGATTAATTAGATGATACTAAAAGTGTCCTGTGGAGGAGGTTTGCCTGCTTCATAGAATGAATAAAAAATAGACATTTCAGAGGTTCCTCAGCTCTTATTTTGCATAGCTGCAACTGGCCACTGCACCAGCAATGAAAGGGCACCGATGAAGGGAGCCCCTGTTTCCCCTTTCACTTGAGACCCGTATGTTGTGCACAAATGAGCAAAAGCCAAGGCCATAGAAGAACTGGATTTTCAAAAGTGTTGGTAAACAAAAATACTAAATTTAATTCAGATGAATTAGATGACTGTACTGGCTAAGGGCTGTTAAAGTTTGTATAATGTATCTGTTCTTTAATAGGAAAATGTTACCCTATATATTAAACAAAGGCCTATGGATATATATGGTCATATCTAAGCTAACACAGTGTGTAATTTGAGTCATTTACTCATTCAAATATTTATTAAGCATCAGTCAGTATCAGGTATTGTTGATGCCAGTGATACAGTGGTAAACAAAACACTGTGTTTTGATCTTGCAGCCTTAAATTCTAATGGGAGACATAAATATTAAGTCATATAAACTAACTGTTCATTGTGGCAAAAATTGAATTAAAATGGACTACCAGGGATTATATTCCCAGTGGAAATTCATTCATTCATTCATTCATTCATTCATTCATTCATTCATTCATTCATTTACGAGACAGGGTCTTGCTATGTAACACAGGCTGGCTCTTGAACTCCCTTGTGTAGCCTAGGCTGGTCTTGAATTCACACCAATCCTTTTGCCTCAGCCTCCTGAATTCTGGGATTACAGCAGTGTGCCACCATTCCTGGCAGTTTAATTATAATTTTTTAAAAACAAGGTTGTTTTTGATAAAAGTGTTTTCACTGTATTGGTAAGTGCAATTAATCAGACCCACATGTGAAAATAAAATAAAAATGTTTTCACAGAGGATACTATATGTGGGAAGAAGAAACAGTATGACTCTGGTGCAGGGAGGACAGGAGAGGGCTTGGGGCTGTGGTAGAGTAAGAGTCTACAAGGAATCAATGGAAACAACGTTGGCTTAGAGGAAGGACAAATCATCAGTTAAGCCAGAGCACGTCATATCTCAGTGGGGACATGAATATAATACATAAACAAAGGCGCAGCAGTGTTCTGGAATGAACATGAAAGAATGTTAAAAGAAAATAATTTAAAATAGAGCTACGAAAGCCAGGATTGAGAAGAGATCTTTTGAAGAAGTTATTTTTTATTGAATACCAAAAGGACAGGTAGCACTTAACTCCAAAGTAATGCTGACGGGTGCAGAGCTCCCCATGTAGACGTTTCCTTACCATGAAAGCTGGACCTAACATCCGTAAGCAAGACCCAGAAAGGATGATTGACTGCATAAATAATCAGCCCCAGAATTGCAGTCCAGTCTGAGGCCGTCTGTGGCATTTTTCCCAGGAGAATTTTTGTTTGTTTTTTTTTACAGATGCTTGGTAGCAGAAAACCAGAATGTGATAGCAAATCACAAAACAGTTGTTCATTTCATTATTGTCTCCTTGGAAAAATTCGACATATTTAGAATTTTCCTCACTTTGGGTTTATAATGTATACTTATTATACACCAAGCACAGTTCTGACAACTATAGTTGCAAAGGAAGCATGTACTCATGGTTCTGGACTGCACATTACAGTGGGAACAAATACTTGTCCCATCGTGTAAGTGCTATGAAGGAAACTAAGCCATGATTTATTTGAAGAAACCTGGCTGAAAACTTAATTGAAGACAGGTGCAACTTTAGTTCTAATCAAGGAAGACTTTTCTGAGACATTGACTGTGCTGATAATACTTGGAAAGGACTGACCCAGAAAAAGAGAAATGTGGGTTCAAAGAGCCGAGGCTCACATGAGCAGGGCCTACATGAGGGGAAACATCAAGGAGGCTTGGGGGACTGGAGGGGAGGGAGCTTTTCAGAGAGTGTTGGAGAAGAAGGCCCAGGGCTCCGACAAGCAGAGCTGGAAGTCAAGGTGTAAATGATTTGGTTCGGGTTTGTAATAGGATGGGAAGCAGGTGGAAGTGGAGCTTTGAGGAGGATGTGACAGGTGG